ACAAAATCTGACTCCGTTTCCATAAAACCGGTTTAAATCCTGAGTTTAACTTTGACTTTCCGGACTTTCCGTGGTGTTGTTTTTATTTTTAAGAAAATGACACAATCCCGGGTTCATTCTGCACAAACTATCAAAAACACACGTTTTTTTGTTGTCGTTTTAGCAAAAAATAGACAGAAAAATCTGACTCCGTTTCCATAATAGCGAGTTTAACTTTGACTTTCCGTGGGGTTGTTTTTATTTGTAAGGAAATGAGACAAAATGACACAATTCCGGGTTCAGCCTCTGCACAAACTGCTAAAAACACACGTTTTTTTGTTGTCGTTTTAATACAAAATAGACACACAATCTGACACCGCGAGTTTTACTTTGAATTTCCGGACTTTCCGTGGGGTTGTTTTTATTTTTAAGAAAATGACACAATTCCAGGTTCATTCTGCAGCAACTTGTGCAGAAACTATCAAAATACACGTTTTGTTGTTCTCGTTTTAACACAAAATAGACGCAAAATCTGACTCCGTTCCCATAAAATTAGTTTAAATTGCGAGTTTAACTTTGACTTTCCGGACTTTCCGTGGGGTTGTTTTTATTTTTAAGAAAACGACACAATTCCGGGTTCATTCCGTGCTCACATTACACAAAATTACACAATTCCAGGTTCAGCCTCTGCACAAACTATCAAAACACACGTTTTTTTGTTGTCGTTTTAATACAAAATCGAGACAAAATCTGACTCTGTTTCCATAAAACCGGTTTAAATCGCGAGTTTAACTTTGAGTTTCCGGACTTTCCGTGTGGTTGTTTTTATTTTTAAGAATATTACACAAAATGACACAATTCCGGGTTCATTGTGCACAAACTACTAAAAACACACGTTTTGTTGTTGTGGTTTTAACCAAAATAGACGCAAAATCTGACTCCGTTTCCATAAAACTGGTTTAAATCGCCAGTTTAACTTTGCTAAATTCAAAATAACTGACCCTGAGGATATTTGGTGAAACCGGACCCATGGAGTCTGTAAAAAGGCTTCACGTGCACTATTTTGTTTTTTAAAGAGAGAGAAAAAACACACACACACCTAAAAAAAAAGATAGATTACACACGAATTTATAAGGAGGAAATAAATGGGGAAAAATAGATAAATACAGCAGCTCTGTTTTGATTTATTTCACTCGGTGTGTGTTTGGAAATATTGTAGCCTGTATGTGTGTGTGTGTGTGTGTGTGTGTTTAATATATTTTCTTAATACTCAGAAGCAATTGTTTTATTTAGATTGGAGTGTGTCCTCCTCTCTGTCTTTCTCTTGTGGAATTTTACATATATAATATACAGTACAATACAATATACAATATATAAATATATACAATATATAAATCATATACAATCCCCAACTTATAATATAAAAAAGAAAGACGAAAATAATTTCGACGATTATTTTTGTCTGTAAAACACCAGATTATTACTGTTTGTTTTATATTCCATGTAATAACCCCACGTTTATTTATCTTTTTTTCGCCTTTAATTTTCCTAAATAAATCAGTGCAAAAATATGTGACAGGAAAGCGTAAACAGCCTTTAGTTTAAATCACCTAAAACACACAAAAGGATCGATTCTTCAGGATAAAATTAGAACAAAACGAGAATGTATTATTATTATTCTACACGGTGTGTCCACTATTGGGATTTTTCCTGATGGAAATATGGATTAATTCTCTGCTATATAGTAAGTAGTTTTCATTTTTTAATATTACATTTCTAATATTTAATATTAAAAATAGGAGAATATCCCAGAATTCCTGATTCATTCCAGACTCGCCTTAGAAAACGGATAAAATATAAACTAGGAGTAGAGCTATGGGTGTGTGTGTGTGTGTAGACCCACATCAGGGTCAAAAAACGAGTCTGGAAACGCTATA